ATTCTGCATGTGTGATGCAGCAGATGAAGATCTATGTGTTTGGAGGATGGGACACCCCCGTCTGCTATAATGACATGTACATGCTGGACCTCGGTAAGCCGCACAGCGGGGTATTATTAGAAATGTATGCAAAAGCCTTGCATTTATTTGTACGCACAAACAAGACACAATGATCTGGATAGAGGTATAAAAACATTATGTATCAAATGTATCCCCCCAACTCCATCTCTCTGGTTTCTTAATCTTACTCAGCTACCCAAAAAATAAATCAAATAAAAAGAGCAATAATACACTTAACATAGGAACTGTTTAGAAAACTATAAAATACAATAATAATACCAGTAAAACATAAACGAATCCAAATTAACAGTAGTCATTTTCCAAAAAGTATTTTCTTCCATTTTTATAAAAGGTATCATACCTTCCTCTGATAGCCAAGGTTAATGTCTCTAATGCAGGACATTGAGAGAGTTGAATCCACTGATAGACAGATGGAATTACTGGGTTTTCCCAAGAATAGACATTGTATTTTGAGCTTTAAAATAAAAGTTTTCCCGGTTTTCAAGCCTGTAAATCTCTGAGGTCTGTGGTTTTTCTGATGAAACTACGCTAAATGCCTAATAGTAAAAATAACAATTATATTTTTGTTTTGCTTAGGTCTGATGGAGTTCTCTGCTGTGAAAACATCTGGGAAAGCCCCCTCTCCACGAAGGTACAGCAAAACACACACAGTTGGGGGGGGAAGATGTATCAGAAGCACAGATGTCAACAACAAAAGTCTTGAATTTGTGCACTGGTTTCAAGACATTTTAAACCATATTAAGTCTTATTTTCATATATTTTCGATGTAATGTAACCTCTCTGTGTGTGTTCCAGCTGGCATGGCAGTGCAGTGCTCTCGGACACAAAGTTCCTGATCCACGGAGGCTACAACGGGAACAACGCTCTCACTGACGCCTTCGTCTTCGATATCGGTGAGAGGCAGCTCAAAAAAAAGAACTTCTTAAAGGAAAAAAAGAAGTCACTTAATTTAAAAAGGAAGTGACCCCATGGACTGAAAAGCAAATAATTAAGTTAACTTCATGAATAATGAAACAGGGCTTACGTGTATGTTTTGATTTTTTTTAATGTATTTATTTGTCTCTTTGTTTGATCTATGTCAGACACCAACAGCTGGACGGAGGCGACGCTCCCTCAGCTGTCCCTCCCCAGGGCGGGACACTCCATCGTCACCATGGAGACAGACGCTCTCTTCAAGGAGGATGGAGACGTGGATATGGACGCGGGCTCCATCGGCAGAAACCTGCTGGTGTTCGGAGGCGGAGACAACGAGAGAAACTTCTACTCCGACCTGACGACGGTCGCCGTGGAGGATCTGCTCGCTGCTGTTTGAAGAGCGTGAGTCAGAGGTGATCACTCCCTGACTGCAGCTATTTGTACACCTCCACACATCCTTTATTATTTATATTCCTTCAGATTGTCTTCGTTTCCTTTTTGTTGTGTGAGCCCTCTTCTTCCCGTTATCTTTTTAAAGGGTTTTTAAAATGTTGGGATTGAAAATGGTACAGTTTGGACATTTGTAGTATTCAGATGTAGCTATCATGTTTTAATGTACTTTAACAAACATCAAAGAAAAGTTATATCTCAGTCTCTGTTGATTCAAAAATAATAACAACAATAATCTCTGTTTAAAACTTTTCAGATGATTCTATTTTTGTATGTACATAGTTTAAAGTTGTTTTCCTCAGGTAAAATGTATATTTTGTATTTCTGATACATTCAACTTTATTGTTTTTTCTTTACAAATGAATAACAGGGACTATATATTTGGATTTTGAATTTGTTAAACTCAAAATCACAGTATTGTCATTTCCAAAATCTCTACTCATGTTGCAGCTATTATTCTGTAAAATACTTAATAAACATTTCATTTTCTTAACTCTATTTTATTCACTATCTTCATTTTGAATTTGAGTTGCATCTAATTTGATTTCTGTTCAATTCCATCCCTGAGAAGATAGTAGGCCACATGTGAACACAGCTTGAACACGCTTTCCCATTTCCAGAATAATTGACCCACTAGGTTTGACACTTAAAACAGAACGACACATTAATAACATCCCTGTTGGCCCGGTAACCAGCACTAACATGAGCTAATGTCACCCTCTGATGCTCTCTTCAAAGAGCCACAGCTAAATGGAGACATTTGAATAAAAGATAAATGGAGCTCAAGAAGGATTATCTTCAATTCTGCAGAAAGGCTGATAATGGACATGAATGTGGCTGGTAAGGTGAATACACTTTTAGTATAGCAGCTTTCACACAAGAAATGACAAACAACAAAAACTGCTAAACCATTTATACATAAAATGTTCAAAAAAATAAAATAAGTAGCCATATTTGCAGCATGCACGTATACACAATATTCACTGCAGCAGCAAAGATAATTCATATATTTTATATATTTCTATAAGGATTTATTGTATGATATGACTAACTCTTGCTCTCAAGGTGATTGTAGCCGTCTATACAGATTCAGCCTATTTTTGGTCTTGTTCTCAAATTTAGCCCACGCTGCTGTGACTCAGCACCTGCTAACTTGCTGGGTTTAGAAAGGATTTCAATCTAGGCCATGGAACAAAGCAGGAGAAGGATGATCCGTAGAGTTTGCACACTCATTCATTTTATGTGTGTTTGTACTCTTTTTGTACTTCTCTTGATTGTCTCCTCTTCCATAGTCAAGTCAATGCTGCACTGTAAGGCAATACTATTAACACAGAGTGAACTAGATTCATGTTGAAATGCAAAAAGGCTGCAGAGACAGCCTGCTAGTGATGCATCAACAGTCTGCTGTACAGGATGGCAGAGGGGAATGATTGGCCACATATAAAAAATAACATTACAGCCTCAATCTGGCGGGATACAGTTGGCAGCCTGAGGTAGGAGACTGGAGATAAAAAGCATGCTATGTCTTTTAATGTTCATCCAATAAGACTAAAAAATACTCTCATATCAAATGCAATTAACGGTTTCCAGTTTAACCTCCCACTCAGTGCGGCATTTTCCTCCACAGAAGAAGTATGGCAGCCAAAAAATGCATTTTCATCCAAATATTTACGAGACACAGCAGGAAGTAGTCTCTCAACGATAGGCTGTGGGATATGTTTATTTAATTCAATAGATAGTGTTCTGTAATATACACAGGCATCCTGTAGGTGGCGACACTTCCGCACATTTTCACAATCAACAACCGAGACGAGAGCCTTTTTCCTTTTTTACCCTTTTTTTCAACAATTCCTGCAAACTCAGGCAGATCATTTAGACAAATTAACTAATACAAAGGGAACAACAGATGCTATGGATTTACAGAACATAAAAGGATACAGATAACAACAAGGGACAGCATGTTAAATCGCAAACATCGCAGCCATAACAAATTGACATAATTAGAAGTAAATAAATAAAATATAAGGTAGAAAAAAGAAGATGGAAGGAATAAAGTATATATGAATGTATGGTTTGATCTGATTGCTTAAAGGTGGATTATTTGTTTATATTTTATATTAGGTCGGTGAGCTTTGTATGACGGTTTGGTTTAGTATTACTAATTAAAACTAGACTCATACAGCTCATGAAAAACCTGAAAAAAAAATATAAAAAAATTAAATACGGTCTCTTGTGATCGACCGTCAAACTGGATATGCTCCAAAACACTGAAAAAGAAAAAAAGGACATATTCTGCCAAGTCAGTTGGATTAGTGTGTGAGTGTTTAATGATTGATAAGTTACAAGAAAGGCCCAGTGATTCCCTCTGGTACAGGATATTAATTATTATATAAATACTGTTCAATGCACTGAAAACTGAGTTTTTTGTCTCCTATAACAGTGTTCGTGTACCCCTGCGTTTGCACTCCTTCCATCATCAGGGATGTGATTTTTCCCTCGATTCACTGGGAAATCCTGCCAGTTGGACGCTCTCCCAGTCAAGCCTCTCATACCCCTTGATTTCCTGATTTATTTTTTTATTTCTCCATAACATCCTTGCATTGTGCAGATGGTGAACACCGGTGACTAGTCTCTGCGGACCTCCTGATTGACAGAGTTTAGACATCACCACTTCTAACGGAAGCCATATTTCTTCGTCGGTCCATGGCTGTTGCTAAGTAACTTGAAAAATGTCTGTGCCAGCTGTCAGCATCTCACCGTCACATTTATGGACACATTTTTACAAATTTCATTTCTACAGCTGTGCGAAGAAGACACATATTTGACACCACGGGCAACAGCAGAGCAAAAATAAGAGATATGAGGTCTTTAAAATGTGACCTCAGTCTATTCTTTCAATGAACATTGACACATTCATTTGTTTGAGGGCACCAGGGTTAACATTTTGAACTAGATTTGGACATAGAGCCCCTTTACAAATTAGGGCAACAGGATTAATTAATAAAGCGAGACTTAGATTGAATTTAATTTGTACACATTTTCACAAATGACCAGAAGCAACTGTCAAAAGAGTGGATTATTGTTGGGGACCCTGGGGTTCTATCAACCAATCATTACTGTATTGGCCTATAGACTCAAGATTAAGTAAAAACCATAGGTAAAAACACAACACATAATAAATAACATACAATTGACAATACAAAAAATAAAAACTTAATTTCTATAACTATCTTAGACAAGATGCCATTAATGGAGGTTTATTCTGTTCAATTGGAAATCTTGCACCTAAAAACAACTGTTGAAATGCATCTTTGCCTCAGCTGTGATTGCTTCTGAAGCATTCAAAGCAGATATCTGGGGACCCCATAACAATGTCATATCTCAAAATCAAAATCTCAAATTGATTTTGCTTTTCAAACTTAAGTTGTACACAGAATATCCTGCTGCACCTGCCATTTAATAAACTAAGTCAACAGTAAAGGCTCGGAAAAAGCCGATTGGAGCCGAGTGCAGTACGAACCCCCTCCCTCTCTAATCGTTTCGTGGTGCAAGCAGCCATGTTGCCGCGAGCTTGTTCCGGTATCAGGGCAGGATCGTGCGCATAGACTGCAATCGGGCGCAGCTCCTCGCCTCTCTCCCCCTGTCGACCGTGACACGCACCTCCTAACGAGAAAACCCCAGTATACCAATAATGGATTTTACAACCTGATGATCCCTTTTTGAGTCGGCGGGTCTTGGGAATAACAGCAGTCGGTGTAACGACAGGACGAGCTGGTAAATCGCCACACTGCAGTGCAGCACTGTTGAGCGACCTTATTCCAATCACGCAACACAAGGAAGAGCGCCGGTGATTTCCGTGGATTTAGAGTTTTGTGGGCTGCTCTGTGGCAGTCAGCACCGCCGCGGCCGCAGGAGGAGCAGCTAACTAGCTAACTTTACTTCGAAAGAAACACTCAATTCGCTACATGGGCTAATTTTGGCCAGCCTGTAAGCTAGCGCAACAGATTAATTCGTGTTTTTCACCTGCCATGTGACCAGTTTACATGGTGGTGCTTTTATTTTTTGGATACCCTTACCCTGGATATCTCGCTGGGAACATTTTGAATAGTTTTGTGGGAGTTAGGAAGGTCGAGCCCTCGCCGGGAATAACTTTGGCCTGAAAGTTTGCAGAACCAGGACCTGGCTTCAAACCTGAAAGGAAACATCCCTGCCACAAAAGCATCGACACTGTGTTATGAAACCGACTCTGGTAAACGTTTGTTGTAGATTTGGGCGACAGTTGACGCTTCCTCGGACGTTAGTTAGCAACCTTACAGGTTAGCATGCTAGCCACCTAATTGAACCTTGTCTCGTCCAATACAACCAACTTTTCTTCGTGCTAGCACAAGTAGCTAGCCGGCCAAAACGTCATTAAGTTGGTAGCTCCCTGGTCACAATTGGCACTGCTAACTGGAAACTGAATGTATTCACAACAAGACCGAAGCTGAAGAAGACATTTAGCTTTTTCCTGTTTTGTGCTTGTTGACAAACATGGGACGTGCGGTTGCTGCTAGTTGGGTTCAGCTAGCTGGCTAACTCGGCTAGCCACTGATGTGGGTTTCAACTTGTTGATTCACGGGCTATCTGTCGTGCTGCTAGCTGGCTAGCGCTGGACTTCTGCTGGAAATTTTCCTCTGCCCTCAGCTAGACAGATTTTAAATGTACAATAGACACTGAAGAATCGTTTTTGTTTAATTGTTTCCTTCCCCCTTTTTGGCAACTTAAAGTCTTCAAAAAATGTCAACAAGGACCCCACTGGTGCAAGTAATTGAAAATACAGCTGGGCAGGTAAGACTCTAAGATCATTCTCCATATTACTGTTGATATTTGTTTACCATTAACTCTACTTCAGTATGATATTCCTATATGCTGTGGATAGAGGCCCTGTTTGGCCTTCTCCACAGTCTCTGGTTGTCTCTTTGCTTTTTCTCTCTGTTGTCTTTGCCACACAGCAGTGATTCACCAGCCTTGCCTACGCACTCACACTGGATTTCCCACTCTTTGCAGAATAGAAGAATACATTTAGGTTTATGTTTAGTCTGTGTGTTGGGCATGTCCTCCTACTTGACTTTTCAGTACTTTGACCTGTTGCAATGCAGACAGGCAGTCAGACAGTTCCACATAATTGCTATATTGTACAGAAACCCTATAATGTGTAACATATATTTTTTAATGCAATCTTGTGTGACTTGCGCCTCACAGCTTTATGTTTATATGCACAGTAAACATGTATTGAAGCCATCATCAATACGTTTTGTATATTGCTAGGTTTTGTGTTTGGGTGGTGTTTGAGAAACTTTTCTATTAGAATGTTGACTTTTGTTGTAGGCTTGATACCTTGTATGTATGTATGTTTTTTGCAGAAAATATTGATTTGAAAATTCTGTTGTACAGGCAAGGCTTAAAAAATCCCAAAGGAGATTTAAAAATGGCATTGTATTTATGCAGGACAATATTGGGAACCTTGAATATGCAACAAAGCTTTAATGACAAAAAGAAGCATTTGGGGCTGTGTGATAAAAGTAAAAAGGGTTTTAAGGTTTTTGATGCAAACTTGTAAGAAACAAGACTCATCTATCAATAATTGATTAATTTAAATTGGAAATATCATTTCTAGGTGCTGGTACAGGGGGTGATTCTCAAACTCACTCACAAACCATATCCGATTCTGACCTAAATCTACTGACCCTTAAGCAGAGGCCAGAGGGATTCTAAAAAACACTATAAATACCTTTCAAATATGCAAAGGCTTTTCAGAGCTGGAGATTCAAGAAGTATACATTTCTATTAACTTGAATAGACAAACACACTGGTAGTGTGCTGTAAAGATTAAAAAACAAAAGACCCCTGAACTGTGCTCTGAAAAACATTATTAGAGGGCCTGGAAAACAGCCCTTTTCCAAGACGGCATCTGTCTTAATCTTGTTGACAGTTTTATCTGGAGATTCATTGTAATTGGGACAAAGATGCACATTCTCACATGAAAACCATTATAGTTTCCGATACAGAGCATGACATGCATTACTTGGGGCAGCTGTTGACAAACATCAACAGATTGAAAAAAATCTCTTTTGAGTGATGGATGGAAACATTGTCCGTCTACATGTTGAAAGACTAGCTAGTGGGTGATGTCACCCCGAGTGCGAGCTAAACCAAGTTCTATATTTGTGACGCTTAAGTGTCTATAGGTAGGTCAATGTAGCTGCGGTGACAATTCAGTGTGATGGATTGTTTGAGCAGTTGGTCAGTAGCTTTGATAAGTATAGCAACATAAATAAAGCAGATGAACACAGAAGAAAAACGTGTGGTTAAAACCCTTTTTATTGAACAGTTTTTTACAACCTTGGCTTGGCTATTTGAAAAACATAAACAATAGGAGCATTATTATATTGTACTTTAATTGAATCTGTTGCAAGAGCTGCCCTCTGTCAAACAGTTTTCTACCTGAAATGATGAAAGCCAATCACAGGTGTGTAAAATCAGCTGCACTGCCTTCCAGACTGCAGATATGATCCTACCAGCCAATATGGAAACCTCTTGGTGTTGGAAACTCAATGGTTAAAACATGTAGGCTGTGTTCGCTTCTTGCAATAAAATGCTGACAGAAATCGTCTGTTGATACCATGATCTAGCTGCGAGTGTATAATGGATCACAGCTTCCATTACAATCCAAGCAGACAGCTAAACTGGTAGGTGTAGGCAAATAAGTACACACATACATATTCCTACAGGGCTACACCCTTACCTGGAACAGAGGTCAGAAACAATACAGTTCATTACATAACCCTTTGACTGTAGCAGCTTTAAACACACACTGAGTACAAAACCAAAGTGCAGTAGCTTGGTGATAAATAACGCTCACTCTTGACTTCCTGGTTTGCCCTGTTTGTGTACCCTTTAGTGAAGTACCTGAAGCAATACAACCTCCTTTGTGTAGATTTGTTGTAGTGCTAATGTTGGTCAGAATGCACGGTTTACTCTTCCTGCAGCAACTAGTGGGGTTTTAGGAAAAAAGTTTGGGGTCATGGCTAGTCCGCAACTGTGTTTGTAGGCAAAAGGTCACAGATGGATACTCCCACACAAACACAGTCTGTTTTAAAAGGCCATGTATAGAAAGCCTTTGGTGTCGGGTCTCAAGATACAGGACAAAATGGCACCGGACATGAAGACGGGTTGAGTGTTGACATGACTGTCCCTGGTCCCTGTCATAGATGTATATTTTGATCTGAATAGTCAATGTGTCGCCAGGTAAATAACGAATTATCTCAAAAATATCCTCACCTTGTCTCTGCAAAAAAGACTGTTTGAGTACAGGGCTGTAACCAGTGTTGCAGATGATTGTTGACTTGTTTGGTCTATAAAATGGTGAGCAATGTAGATCAGTGCTCCTCACAACCTAAGATGATGTCTTCAAATATTGTGGTTTGTCCACAACACGAGTAAAGAAACCAGAAATATTCATATTTAAGAAGATGGATTCATTTAATTTGACTAAAAAACAACAAATGTTATCAATTATCAATGTTGTAAGTTGTAAAATACTAATTCACTGATTCATCTTTTCATCTTAAGTCCCTTACACACCAAGCCGAAATAGATATCGGGCCGTCGATGAGCGTCGCCCTACTCAGATTGGTGTCTTGGTGTGTCCCGCACCGTCGTGTCTTTTCGGCTGTGCCTACACCTTCCGCCGCCGATTCGACATGTTGAATCGGGAGGCTAAAGGCCCTCGGCCAAAGAAATCACTCTGATTGGCTGTTCAGCTAGCGAATCAGTGCATGAGAAGCGAAACGGAAGTGAGGGACCCAAACAAACTATTAAGAAGGCAAATCTGAGATTTCATTTACCTCCAGCTCTCGACAAAGGTTTGGGAAAGCCCCGTGAGCTTCTCGCTGTAGAGTGAAAATGGAACGCACACGCTATTTGTTGTTTGTTTATATCACGCAGTCTGTCTTCCGGTTGTTGTCTCTTTTGAATGACAAATACACACTACTGCTGGTAAGGAGAGTTATTGCCACTCACGCATGCGCAGTTTGTACGTGCAACTTGGCCGTTGGCTGAAGTCTTTGCGGTGTGTTCCAGTGCGAAACATAAGACGCAGGCGACGTTCCGTCGGGACGTGTTCTTTGATGTCAGTTTGCTGTGTAAGGGCCTTTAACCTGACTGAAATTAACAGACAAAGCTTTAAAAGTTTATTTTTACATACAATTATGATAATGGTGATTTCCTTGATAATAATCAAACGTTTGGAAGCCATTTTTGCACACATTCGTTGAACTCGGCTGTTCAAGGTTATAAACATATTTTTGGGTAGTGTTGTAGAAGTAGCTGACCAAGCCAACCTCCATCCTGTCACTATAAACAGTCACTGGGCACGTATCATAAGAGAGCTGTCAAATGTAGTGAAGTGACTTGTGACATCTTTCTGACGGTGTGAAATAGCAGAAATGTTGAGGGGCTCTGATCTGACCTGTTGCCTCACAAGGTTTTGTCCTGGCTGTTAGGTATGACACTCTTCGGTGTGACAATAGTTTAACCTTGAGTACCTGGATTTGTTTTGCGCAAGATGGTGATAAAACTGATATAATAAATTAAAAAGCCTGAAGGTTTTGTTTCAGTATCTATGTGATCTAAGAATGGTGGCTTATTAGTCCAAAAGGGGGAATTGCATAGCTTGTGTTTGCTGTAGGTTCTCACTCTGTGTCCACTTCCCCAGACATGATCAGTTGATTGTCTGATTTCCTGTTTTACAATGTTCCCTCTCTATTCATTGAGTCACATCTTCTGAAAAGACAGAGTAAAGCAGCCAGAAATACTGGTCTGCCTCTTAAATTGTTACTTCATCCTCCATTTCATTGTTTAGGTAGTTGCACACTAGCCAAGCAAGCTGGATCCTCCCCGCATTGAAGTGTAATGGATTTGAAACATTTATTTGTCCGAATGATATTTCCTATACGTCTAAATTAAGTAAAGTGCATTTAGGGCTTGATTGTAATATTTTCATTGGGTTTACTCGAGGTTTATTTATACAAGACCGTCCATCTCTAAAGGAAATAAAACAAGGAAGAAGGAAATAAACAACACATTTACAAGATGATATGAAGTCATTTAAGGTCTGAATTATTCCAAACCTGTTTTGATGAATTAAGGCATGGACAAGCTCCCACAAAATCTTGACATGAATACAGTATAAAGCTAAACTCTTTTTATGGAAGACATGTTTCCAGTGTACCTGTGTGTGCAGTTTTATTTTCTGACCCAAGTTAACAACGGCTGTCATGTTATTCTTGTATTGACTTTTATCGAGCAGGAACAATGGGATGGGATCAGTGGGATTCCCGTGGGACAAAATGACTTTTAAGTTGTATTGTAGAGTTTGGTGACTGGATGGGAATAAAGATAATCATCTGATAGTCAATCTTATGTGCAGCTGTCTGAAGATCAATGTGAAGACTTCAACATTCTCTTTTAAACACTCATTAAAACCCAGAAACCTAGAGGTACCCTGTAAAAGTACCTTTCTTTTCCATCCCATCTTTCAAACAAGCAAAAGTTACGTTTTCACTCTGTGTTATATTATACAGTAAGGTGCTGTGTGATTTGCTATCTGCGATACATGTGTGCTATTGTGTGTGAGAATGTTTCAAACCAAAGAGGAACCCACTCAAAACTTAACTGCAAAGCGCTACTCATGCTACAGAAGGTTGAGGCTCTGGTCAATACAGAATTGGTAAAAAAAGAGCCAGAGGATCGGAAAGCAAGACATTAAATGAAGAGAAGGAGTTGTG